ATAATGTAATCTGCAACATGACAGAGTGGGCAGCTGTTTGGGAAACATGTGTACTTCATATGGGAGTAGCCAGGGTTGTACCGTACACAATCGATGGTATTTCTCTTGCTACCTCAAGTGAAGTTCGAGACCTTGGCTTTCTTGTGAATTCTGATTTGGATTTGACACGTCATATTGATGCTGTCGTTCGAGAAACCTTCGAAGCCCCTCTTCTGCATGCTCAGATGTATTCGACATAATGAATCTACAACTTTGTTGAGGCTTTATAAAGCATATGTTGTCCCCATACTTGAATATGGCTCTCAGATTTGGAGCCCTTATACCAGAAAATTACAGGCAAAAATTGAAAAGGTTCAGCAAACTTACACCAGAATTTTGATGTACCGATGTTATCCCAGCCCGACATACCCACGTGGTTTACCCACCTATCAAGAGCGCTTACAGCTCTTCAACCTGAAGTTGCTATTGCATAGAAGAGTGTTTAATAATATTGTTTTCTGCTTCAAAGTTACTCAGAGGAGAGTTAGGATTGCAGCCTAGTAAGTACTGGGTATCTAGGCCAAGCAGGGGCCGCTTCACTTCGCTGTCCTTGCAATGTCCTACACTGTGCAGTGCAGTAACCATCGATCTAAGTTATTTAACCCATTATTTTTCCGTGGAGCGAGATGGCTCCAGTCACGGCCATCAGATCTGTAGACCAGAAGACGCCGAATACCAACGTGTTCAAAAAGAAATTGAAGGAAGTTGACCCATTCACTTTGATAGGCATTGAGGATTTCTAGAAGATTAGGGTCTGGGAAGTTTCGCTACTGGTGTAAATTTGTGTTACCGAATATGTTGCTGCTTTTTTTTTCTATGTTTTTCCTATGATAAATAAATAAATGATAAATAAATGAGTAAATGAATAAAGAGAATTCATTTCGAGCCGCTCTGCTGAGCTCTTTTCTAATTGTAATGCTTGGTATACACAGCTAATGGGAGGTTTGTCAATCATGCATCGAGAACATGATTCTCGCAGCATCCCACTCCGCACGAAGTAGAAGGTATTCAGAACCATGCTGGCGACAAATGGCCTCGGCCCCGTTTATAAATGTCAGAATCGCGATCAGGGCTATTGTTGGTCCCTAATACAGAGTTTCGCAAATTTTTCTCCTCGACTTTTTCAAGTTTTGACGATAGACCTTGTTGAGCTGGTGTCTATCAGTATTCTCTAGGTGTCGGTATTCAACTTCGATACCTGGACCTTTCTACTTGCTATATTCTTTTACTATTTACTAGTTATTTGAAATTACCACTATCACCAAAAAATCGATTCCTTGCTGAAAATTACGTATACTAGGGTAACTGGTGACCCCAATCACGAATCTGACACTTAATTTTGGTGCCGAGGCCATTTAGAGGCAGCATGGCGCTGAACAGCTCATGCGTTAGGATGACAACGATTTCAGTTTAAAACAAAGCTCCTGCGCCATATCAGCGATAAGTTGCGCCATTGTCAGACGTGTGTGCCGTGTTCGTGAGCAGGGCATCCAGTGAACCCATAGCCCCACCTTCAACAAGAGTTTTCTCAATAGTGTATCGAGAGGGCAAAAGTTAAGTGTGACCGGTTCGTGAACTATTCGTGTATAGATTTAATTTTGAACGGCATTTTTTTGTGTAGGAGAGAGTGCCCCTGGACATCATTAACCTTGATTTCATTTTATTCTATTGATCATCCCTCCATTATGAAAACATTGTGAATAACAAGATGACCTTTCAGCCCTCGCTCGTTAATGAGGTCGCTTCGCAGAGGCAGCAAGTTTTTGCACCTCATTAAAGCTGTCTCGCTGTCAGGTGCGAGCTACCTCTTAATTAGGTTGATCGTACCAATTATCCGTCACCCCATTTAGCTAGGCCAGCTAGGCAGACTCACCTTATACCTAGTTCCACTTGGGGAGTGGTGCGAGGTGAGTCTTCGGGAGAGTGGGCATTTGGCAGGCTTCGCGAAACTGAGTGCTGAACTCTCTTGTTAGGCTCACCCAAGGGAGAACAACAGCAAGAAAACCACTGAGCTCATTCAAAAACGGTTGAAGGTACGAAATTAATTTATTTCTTTCCGTTTCGGTAGTGCTTTTCAAACATGCATTAGCAAGACTTATTAGTAGTAGTTTCTTCTCTATTCGTTCGAAGCTGGTGCCTGTTTCCGTCTGCATGATGCTATGTACAAATACATCAGAGAAAGAGTAGACTGAAGCAGTGTGGGAGCAATGGGTGCGTATTTAGGAGCTCGCATAGTCAAGTTGTCAAACAGTGAAGGCTTGCATTGGTTACGCATAATAGGTGCGAAAGCAGTCCAAAGTTCGAAGTACTCAGTCAGGGAAGTCCTAGAACCGCGTAAGATCGCCTCAAGACCTCACAAATAGACCGTGCAAGCCTATAGAGTTTAAAGGCTATGGTTTCATATGAGCCAGAAAGCAGCGTTTCAGACAGCTAGCACCCAAAAACCCTCGTTGTTCCGAATGTTTTCACATTAGGTTTGCTTAGTAGCCTAGATTCTCTAGAAAATCACTCACAAATGTCTAGCGTAAATTGTATTTTCTTCCCTCAACCACCATCAGCCTGGCGCGCTCCGCTGACACCGTGACGGGACCGCGCCGCACAGTCGCGTCGTGATTTGTAATTAGCATCGTTAGGAGCGTAGGCCTGAGGCAGGAAGTGGGATTCGGGAGCAGTTAGGCGGCGGGGAGGGGATGGGAGTGAAGGGGGGAGGGCATTTTGCACTTTCACTGCTTCACTTACTTCCGATTTACGGTAGGTCAGAAGTCACTAGTGCGCTGACCGTGAGCGGCGGCTCTACAATCCGCTCTATTCGTACATATTATATTCATCCTACCTGCACACCTTTTATCTCGTCTGCGGTTTCTATTTACTGGTATCGCCTATTTTGAATTTCGCCACCTTATCGGGTGATTTTTGTCTTTTTGCGCCACTGATTATCGATAGATCATCA